AAAAATGAGGACCTAATGCCAGGGGCTTAAGTGGAGAGGAAATGTTTTGAGAATGATGAGGGCAATGAATGTACAAATGCCCTTTACACAATTGATGTATGTATGGATTGTGATAAGAGTTGTATGCGCCCCTAATAAAATGATTTAAAAAAAAAGATTTATAGCCTCAGAAGCTCACAAGGGCAGTGACCAATAGGTCACCTGAGTCACAGTGGGCTCCGTGGATGAGAGCTTACCTTTGTGTGTGTGTGTGTGTGTGTGTGTGTGTTTGGAATGTGGATGACTTATTAAACAAGATGGCAAGGCATCGGTTTGCGCCCAGGAAGCGTCGTGGGGACCCACTGCCCAAGAGGCCCTTCTCACTCACAGCCACCTGGGGGGCAGAACTGCACGCTCCGAAACCTGGGGTTTCCCAGATGGGGAAGCTTTATGGGCGGCTGGTGGGTTTGAACCCCTGACCATGCTGTTGGCAACTCTCCTCACTGTGCCACCAGGATGCCCCAGCGACTCCACAGCTCTGCTGAAACACCCTGCACGTGGCAGGAACGTCTCCCGACAGGAGAACACCAGACTAGAAAATCAGCAAGTTCACACCATGGAGGCTCAGGAAACAGGAAGCAGACATTCTTGACCCCAAAGAAGAAAAATGAGGCCACGAGGGAATGAAGCTTTGGAGCATTTCCTTGTAAACAAGTAACCCAAGCCTTTGATGGGTGGTGCGTTCCTAAATTGGGACTGGCTTCAGCCAACACGGGGCAGGGAGAAGGAATGCCCACGTACCAGCGTGCCAGCCTCGGGGCGAGCAGAGCTGCTCTGGGGTTAAGCTCGTCAGAGGCCAGTCTCAGGATCCGAGACAAAGCAGGGGACTTTAACAGGTGCCCTTGGCTCCTGATGGCCCCAGGGAGGTGTCTTACTGCTGGGTGGTGGGAATTTCTTCTTGTGGGAATGGGCTGCATGCCTTACCACTGTGGAATAGCCACAGGCAGAGGTATTTAAAAGCAGTTGAGAAACACGAATTTGTCACAACAGAGTTGGGCTGCTAACCTCAAGGTCGCCAGTTCAAAGCCCCCAGCCGCTCCCTGGGAGAAAGACGAGGCTTTCTCCTTCTGTAAGGGTTACAGCCTCAGGAACCCAGAGGGGCCATTCCACCCTGTCCTGTAGGGTCGCTGTGAGCCAGGACAGACTCCATGGCGGTGAGTGGGTGCTGTGCCTCTGTGGAGCTGTGTCGTGGTGGATGCTGACAGAAGTCTGCACGGAGCCAGAGAAGGCTTGGCTGGACACAGTTACTGAGCGTGTGAAGATGTGGTAACTTGTCGCCTCAGGCCCTTCCTCGTCTGACTCACCTGCAGGGATAGAGTGGGAACTGTTTGAATCAATCACGGGCCATTGGACTGGTAAAGCCGACCACGGATTTCCTTTTATGACGGGCAGTGCCCTCACAGTCCTCAGAAGTGAGAGCTGTAGGGGGAGCACGGGGTGCACTTCTCGGGGCTTATGGGGCACCCCGGACAGACTCTTCCAGGTCCTGATCCAGGACTTGTGACTGGGCCCTGGCCATGAGGTCGGGTGGGATCGAATCTTACATGAACAGTATCAGAGGCTGGGCCACGGGCGGTCTCCCAGTAGGACAGCCACTCTGCCTCCCTGAGCCTCAGTGCTAGCCCCCTGAGAGATGACAGATAAGATTGCAGGGAGCAAGGCTCTGCAGGCTGCTCAGGCCTTGAGTGTCCCCCCCAGGGAGGCCCAGTGCTGCTCTTCACCCCACTGTCCTCTCCTGAATGGCCTGGCTCAGCCCCACCCCTGCATTCCTGTGGCTGAGCCAGCACCCTGCGGCCCCTTGAGAGATGGGGCCACCCCCTCCACCTCCCGCTTCTTTGTGGTGGAAATTGAGACAGAGAGAGATGCTGACGCCATCATGGGGAGATCTGGGGGGACCCTCTGGGACCAGGGAATGTAGGAGCACTGGGGTCTCCCCAGAATCAGCAGTCTTAGCCCCGCATCCAGGCCTCCAGTGGTGGGTGACTGTGGGCTTGTCTGTGGGGCAGGGGCCCAGGGTCAAAGGCTTGGGAGTGGGGAGGCGAGGGCGGGGTGTCTCCATGCACACCTCCATCCACCCTGCAGCCCAGCCTGTTTTGGGTGGGAGGAGGGATTAGTCAGTGACTGGTACTGGGACCCGCCCAGGGAGGGGGCCTGGACTAGTCCAGGCAGGGGAAAGTGGGGTGCCCTAGCATCCGCTCATCGATGACACCCCTCCTTTGGGCGCCACTGTGTCGGGAGGGGTGAGGCTGGGGGCCCTCTGTGCTCCCTGTTTTCCCTGTTCTGGGGCCAGACCACTGGCCTGTGTCCAAGCCCCACCCCACCCCACCTCTCAGACCCTCATCCATCTGAGTGGCTGGAGGGTGATCAGAAATGTGGCCTGACTTCTTTGCTGTCCCTGGGGGCCAAGGCTGGGCTGGGCTGGGCTGGGAGGGTCTGCAAGTGGCAGGGAGGTACACAAGGAATGAATCTCAGCAGGTGTGTCCTGGACAACTAGTGCTCTGCACAGCTTGGGATTCACGCAGAACCCAGGCTCCACCGTCGCCCTGGTGGCAGGATGAGGCCGAGGGGCAGGGGCAGGGGTCTCTGTGCCTGGCCCAACCCCAGCAAACCTGGACAGGGCTCCTTGTTTTGCTTCAATGCATCCAATGCCCAAGCAGGGCCCAAGTGGAGCAGGGCTCAGCTCTCAGTAAGGGACCAGGGGACACTGGGCATGGCAGACACAGGCCCAGAGACCTAGGACCCCTTCCTGGTGGGTACCCAGTCCCTCCCCTGTCCCTCCAAGGCCCACGGCAGTGTGGATGGAGAAGCCCGTGCCATGCGCCCTGGGATGTGCTCTGCTGAGGACCATGGGACCTTAGTCACCAGTGGACACCCAGCCCAGCCCAGCCCTCCAGGGTGCACTCTCGTGTGCGTGTGTGTATGTGGGCGTATGTGTCTGTGTGTGCGTGTGCATGTGTGCTGTCCATGTGTGTGCATACGTGTGTATGTGTGCATATGTGTGTGCATGTGTGGTATGTGAGTGGGTGTATTTGTGTATGTATGGATGTGTAGTGTGTGTAGATGTGTACTGTGTATGTGTAGTGTGTATGTGTGTGAGTGTATGTGTGATTGTGTAGTGTGTGCATGTGTGTGTGCATATGTGTGGTGTGTCTTTATGTGTGTGGTGTGTATGTATTATGTGTGTTTATGTGTGTGTAGTGTGTGTGAGTGTGTAGTGTGTGGGTGTGTATGTATGTGTGTAGTGTGTTTATGTGTGTGTGTGAGTGTGTAGTGTGTGTGGATGTGTGTGAAGGAGGCAGAGGCTCTACAGGTTGGGTGTGTTATGGTTTGTGTGGTGTGTGTGATGTGTATGTGCAGTGTGTGTATGGTAAGATATGTGCGTAATGTGTGTGTACATATGTATGTGTGCACGAGGGCCTGTGTGCTGAACATGGAGGCTCACAGGGTGGGTGTGTTGCAGGCTCCGTGTGTGTGTGTGTGTGTGTGTGTGTGTGTGTGTGTGTGTGAGAGAGAGAGAGAGAGAGAGAGAGGACGGTTTCTGACGGTTGCCGCTCGGGATCAGAAAGCAGGCAGTGGGTGCCACGAGGTGCCCAACCCATCTGGGTCTCCTGTGTCTGAGGGAGGCACATTCTGACTGGGACATGCCCACTGAGCCCAGCCCCCAACCTGCTTCAGGGTTTCCTCCTGCCTCTGCAGGGTCTGTGCAGCCCCGGTGCCCTGGCAGGGTCAGGGGGCATCAGGAGGACACCTGAGAGGTCTGGTTGCTCCCCATGTTGCAGTGAGAGTCTCCCTCATTTCTGAGCCAGAGGAGGGCAGGAACAGGCCTGGGGAGTGTGGGGGAAGGGGCCGCAGTTTTGTACCCAGACCCATCTGGCTCCCCGCCAAAGGGACTCCCCACCACGCTGACCAGCAGCCCCCGAGCCCCTCCTCACAGAGAATGGACACAAGTTCAGGGTGTGCCCTGAAGTAGGTCCCATGAACAGGGTGGCTTTTAGGGGCTGAAGGGGGGTTAGTGACCCTTTCCCAATCCCACACCCCACCTACCCCAGGACCTCCTTCCCCCACCTGAGAGGGGCCCAGAAAGACTTCCCTGCCCTCCCCGCCTGTTCCAGGGTGCTGGACACCTACCAACCGGGGCTCAGGTGTGGGGAGGGTGGGCTGCACCTGGGAGGGGCCCTGCCTGTCTGCGTAGCACACTGTGCGCCCAGGGGGAAACTGAGCCCAGCTGGGCAAGGTTCCCTCCCTCCCCCAATGAATCATTGGGCCCACTGGCCCCTCCCCACTCCCCTCTCAGGCCACGGCCCCACCTCCGCCCGAGGCGCTGTTCTGGGGGTGTGGGGGGGCTGTGTGACTCAGAAGTATTTCCTGGAGTGCCGGCCAGCTGGGCACACACAGCACACGGACCAAGTCCAGGGGCCTTTAGAGGTTCGTCTGGATGCCCTGTGGCCCCACGGGACCCCTGACCTGGCCGAGGGGTGGGTGGTGGAGGAATCTGGCCTTGCCCAGGGGCCTCAGGGTCACTGTCCCCACAGAACATGGCCTTGCCGACCCCCACGGGCCTTTGTCTCCTCCTGCTCAGTCTTGGTGAGTACAGGGGCTGCTGGCAGGGGTGGTGAGGAAGGACAGGTCACAGCAGGGTGGGGAATTTTGGATAGAAGGTGTGCCCCCCACCCTCCCTTCCTCCCTCCTCTCAGGCTTTGAGGGAAGCCCTGAGCGCCCTCCCCCCACCACCCTCAGGGTCCCACAGCTTTGGGCGTGTCACTGCCCTGTCCCCTGAAGTGACTGTGTCTGGCACCCGCCCCAACAGCCCAGGCCAAGCAGGGACAGTGAGGGGCGGAGGCTAAAACAGGGGTCTGTGGGGGCACCTGATGGCCCTGAGCCGTTAGCCCCTGCAGGGGTGGTGGTGGTGGGAAAGTCCCCTGGTGGGGGCAGGGCCCCGCCATGGGGGTGGGACGGACAGGCCTTCATGCCCTGTGGGTTGTACTCAGGATGGAAGCCCCCCAGTTGAGGCCAGGGTGGTGGCTCCCAACCAGGGTTAGGGTCTAGGGCAGCTGCACCCTGGAAGTTCCCGACCTACCACAGCCTCACACCCCTCCCTGCACAGGCTGTGTGATACCCTGTGAGGTCCACGCTGCTGGGACCAGGCAGGTAAGTCCCCTCAGACAGTATGGAAGTATTTGGTGGGTTTGGGGGTGTCCAGTCTTGCATGGGGTGGGTGAGACTGGCTTGTGTATATATACACACACACAGATACTCACACTCACACTCAGCAGGTACACAAGCATTCACACACCCAGCTATGGAAGCAAGCTTTCAAAGGGACCTCCTCAGAGGAGCCGCTGAACCTGGTGTGACCGGCCAGGGTGGAGCGGGGCTCAGCACAGAGGGAGACTGGGGAGTGGCCAGACTGGGAAGTGGTGGAGCCCAGTGGGAGCTCAGTGCTCTGCAGGGGCTCCTAGCCCGGCCCCTCCTCGGCAGTGATCCCCAGTGAGACCCCGCTCTGCCTGGCTGTCCGCAGGGTGTCTTAGCGAGGAGGCTGCGTAGTGACTTCAGGGACCTTAAACCGTCGGCTGTTTACCGGAAGGCCCGGCAGGCCCAACCACAGCAGGCCAGGCAGGAAGGTGAGCTTCGTGCCCTGCTGGGGGGAGAAGCAGGGGCCAAGCCCAGGGGACACAGAGGACAAAGAGGCCCACTCCCCCTACAGAGCCAGGCTGCCCCCCAGGGAAGGAGGTCCAAGAGGTGGACGAGATGCTGGTCCTCTACTCCGACGCCGAGCTGCAGGCCTGTGTGGACGGCACCCTGTTGGCCACGCAGCTGGACCGGGTGGATGCCCTGCCCTTCACCTATGGGCAGCTTGCCAGTCTCAAGCGCAAGCTGGACCAGGTAGCTGAGCGCGTGCGTTCTGGCCAGCTGCACCACCCACCAGGCCCCGGGGTTTGCCACCAGCTTCTCACAGCCCCACCCCACCCAGGCCTACCCCGACGGCTACCCCAATGACGTGATCCAGAGACTGGGCTCCTTGTTCCCGCTGGTCACTCCTGAGGACATCGGCAAGTGGGACGTGAAGTCCGCAGAGATGCTGGAGAGCCTGCTCCGAGCCACGAAGGGGCCGAATTCGGAGGCTCAGGTGCCCACCTTCCCAGGGCGGGGCAGATGGGAGGACGTGCCCTGTGGGGTCAGGCAGAGCAAGGGGGTAGGGGGACCCCCCCTGCCATAGGTGTCACAGCAGCTCCTTCTGTAGGTGGCTGCCCTGATAGCCCGCTATGTGGCGGGTGGGGCCCAGGTGGATGAGGGCGCCCTGGGCACTGTAGCTACCATCCATCCTGCCTCTCTGTGCCTCTTCAGTCCCGAGCAGCTCAGCCTCCTGCAGCCCCGCCTCCTCTGGTGAGTCCCTGGGGCCTGCCCGGGCATGGTGGGCGTACTATTAGCTCACTGCCTCCCCATGCCCCCAGGGAGGTGGATCCTGGGGCCTTGAAGGACTGTCCACTGCCACAGAAGGAGGCCCTATACAGCAAGGCTCAGCTTGCCTTCCAGAACCTCTCTGGGCCCAGCTACTTGGAGAGGATGCGGCCTTACCTGGGTGAGCCTGGGGCCCAGGGAATGTGGGGGCTGCAGCCCCCTTCCCACCTTGAAGCTGCCCATTGGATAGGACTCGGTGATCTTGTGTCCTTAGCCCCCGTGTGTGTGACTTCAGATGCCACGGAGAGACTCCGTGCACCCCCCTCCCTGCTCCAGCACGGGGTTCCCTGAACCCATCACTGTGGAATGGATTCCCAGTCAGAGGTATCCTATAGGGTAGAGGGGACCTGCCCCAGGGGTTCCGGGACCATGACCTTTATGGGAGCACACAGGTTCACCTTCGTCCCAGGAAGGGCTGGAGGCAAAGGCCCACCTCCTGGTTAGCAGTCCCCCACCAGCGCCCTGTGCCAAGGAGCCGCTGTGGGGAGTAGGCTGGGATGTGAGGGTGGGGTGGGCCTTCGTATTTGCAGGGCCTCAGGCAGCCTTGAAGCCCTCTCCCCACATGGCAGGGGGGGCCACCACGGAGCAGCTGCGTGTTCTCAGCCAGAAGAACATCAGCATGGACATGGCTACTTTCAAGGAGCTGAGGCGAGAGGCCATATTGGTATGTGGGGGCCTGATCAGGGGTGGCAAGGGGCCAGGAGAAGCCTGGGTGGGGGCCGGATGGAATTGGGTGGGGGTGAACAAGGGACTCGGCAGGGGGCTGGGTGGGGCCTGGGCAGGGGCAGCCCCAGGTGGGCTCTGTGGCTGAGGGGGCAGTGAGAGGCTTGCCTGTGGCCAGGAAGTGGGGCGCTGACAGCCACCCTGGGGTCTTGGCAGCCCCTGACGGTGGCTGAGGTGCGGGGACTGCTGGGGCAGAACGTGGGGAACCTGAAGGCCGAGGAGTGGCACAGCCCCGTGTGGGACTGGATTGTGCAGCAGAGGCAGGAGGATCTGGACACGCTGGGGCTGGGGCTGCAGGGCGGCATCCCCAATGGCTACCTGCTCCTGGAACTGGGTGACCGGGGGGCCCGAGGGGCCTATGGGAGGCATGGCTAGCTGGCCGGGCTGTGCACGCCCCACTGTATGGAGGTCCTCTCAGGGGCCCTGCCTCCCCAGACCTGGACCTGTGCCGGCCACCCTCCTAGCATCAACCCTGAGTTAACCATTGCCCTGAAACCCCACCTGGCAGAAAGGGGCCACCCATCCCACCCCACCCCGGAGCCTCAATAAAGGGTCATGTCCCCGCAGATGTAACACTGGTGTGGATACTGCAGTTGGGGTCTTGGAGGGTGACTTTTGGGTCCCCTGGGTGACAGCAGGACCTGGTGGAGGTAACCTCACAAATGTGCCCTCTCAGCTCTGGGCAGCCTTCTTCAGCCCCAACTCACACTGTGACAGCCAGGACAAAGGCTCTTGTTCCCAGGCCTCAGCTGAGGTATGCAGGGGTCTGGAGAACTGGACACTAATAGAAGGTCTCTGTGCCCCCCAATCTCCCACCCAGTCCAGAGCCGAGGGACACCCAAGGAGGGGACTGGGATTCTGTGACAACCCCCCACCCCAGCCCTGCCCCACTGACCCAGAGGAAAGGGCCACACAGGGAGGGGACTGGGGCTTTATTCACACCTATCAGCACTGCTGGTGACATTGATGCCAGGAGGGTTGTGGCAGCCATGGCTCCTCGGTGCAGCTGCGGGTCCTGGAGGGCTGGCCTGAGCAGAGGTTGGACCTGCAGGCCCACCCGGTCTCTGGGCCCTGTGCCACCTTCGAGCCGCGTTGTCTCGGAGTGTTCTGGAACAACGCCAACTGTACAGACCGCGGTGCAGGGCCCCAGGAAGCAGGCCGGGGCAGGCACAGCCACAGGAGGCTGACAGGCAGGACCAGGACAAGTGGTAGGGACCCTAGGAGTCCCTGAGGGCTGCCTGCAGCAGATAGGAGGCCCTGTCAGTCCTATCCAGAGCCCCTGCAGGTAGCCCTCCCTGAGGCCCTCAGTAGCCCAACCAGGACCCTAGTGTACCCTTACACCCCTGTCCGAGAGCTCGGCCACGTGGTCATACCCCAAAGATGGTGGAGCTCATGTGAACTGGGAGGCAAGCGGGGTGGATGGACAGTGGCCAGCACCCTGCCTGGCCCCCAAAGGGCCCTGGGAAAGAGGTGCAGGGGTGGGTGCTGGGCACACCTGAAGCGGAGCCCTCGATGCCCTTCGCTGGCAGGCCTGAGGGGAAGACGGGGCGAGGCGGCCGGGGCTGTGTGCTTGGGGTCTCCAGGGTCATGAAGTCTGGGCGGGCGGTGCTGGCAGCCTTGGCATTGAAGCCCAGCTCGCCCAGGGCCGAGCTGCTCAGACTGCGAAGCCAGGAGCTGATGGTGGGGTGGCTGCGTGCCTTCTGCAGGTCCCCCACGTTCTGACCCAGCAGCGTGGTCACATTGCCCACACTGAGGCTCTGTGGGAACAGGTGGGCAGTCGGGGGCATGGGTGGTGGGCAATTCCACGGGGCTGGATGTGGGAAGATTCAGCCCGGGTCTTGACCTGGGCAGGAGCATGGACCGGGGCTTGAAGACAAAGAAATGTGCTGCTGGGACGTGGAGAGGCTTGGGGACAGGAGGGTGCAGCAGAGGGCAGGAGGGGGTGGGAGGAAATGGGAGGGAGGGGGCTGTACCCTGGGGCCTCGCGCCCCCTCACGCCCTACCCGGTGCAGCCCAGCGCACCTGTAACACCCGTGGGTTGAGGTTGGTGAAGGTGTCGATGTCCATGGAAACGTTGGCCTGGGCCAGGTGTTGCAGTTCCTCCACTGGGGCGCCGCCTGGGGGTGCCGGCAGTGGTCAGTGGGGAGGGGGAGGTCTGGGGGAGTAGGGCACAGGAGTGGGGATGGCTCACCAAGGTAGGGGCGCATGAAGCGGTAGTAGGCAGCTGTGGTGCGTGTCCCCCCAAAGGCCTCACGGGCCTTGGCATACAGCACATTCTTCCTGCTCTGTGGGCAGGCAGAGATGTCCAAAGCCCCGGCCAACCTGTGGGGGAGAGCATTGAGCAGGCCTGGCCCCGCCTTCTGAAGCGTGCTGGCTGGTACCCCACCCCTACTCCTCCACGCAAGTGTACAAACTAACAGAACATCTTCTGGAAGTTTGTCTGGAGGAGGGCCTGTGTGGACGGGATTAGCTAACAAGCTGTCAGGCCGGGGCAGATGGGCCCTGACCCTGTGACCGGTGACCGGTGTCCGTGTCAGAGGGAACACAGAAGGGCAGAGGGGCAAGGGAGCCACAGGCTTGGCTTCAAGCTCGGGATGCCTGGGGCCATCCCTGGGAGAGGCAGGAAGGACCGTCCCCTGGAGCCGTCTGTCTCTAGTTTTAACCTCCCCATTTGTGGCCCCCCTCTCCCCCC